CAAAGGCAATGGATCAAATAAAATAATGTATGGTTTTTTGACGTGAGGGAGAAAAAATAAGAAATTATAATTATTAATTGAAAATTATACGACATAAAGTATATATATTTAGTCACAATCTTAATTATTAATTTAATTTATTTGATAATTTAAATTTTCTCAAATATACTTATTTTAATTTTGAATATGAAACTTAAATAAATTTTTGAGAAGTATTTATAGAAAAAGATTAATATAATAATAAAAATAATTTATACTATACAAATTTTGGAGAAGTTAAAGAGGAGAGCTTAAAGAAAAGTATAATTATTTTAACTAATAATCAATAAAATCAAGATGAGATAAAGAATGAAACATCAAAACAAGCAGTAGCGATTAATTAATTATTACAAGTCATTGCATGCACATGCCATGATGATCACCTTCACCAAGTAAGTGATATCTTCTTGTGCCTGTGGTGGGTGGGAACACCAGGGAAATAAGGAATCCCAGTTAACACTGCCATGGAAGAACTTGGATGGTGAGAATAAGTTTGCAGCTTTCGAATTAAGGTTCCATATACCAGCCCAATTAACACGCTTTGATTTGTCTGAACCAGGGCCACTGTTATGGTACTCAGCATAGAAGCAAGTGTCCATATTTGAAGGCCCTTCTAGTCCTTGGCATGGCAAATACCCATAAGAGTGAATCAAATCATCAATGTAAGTGTCCATGATGATAGTCCTGGAGTAATTCTTCCATGGATGAGCTAAGTGTTAGAATTTTGTTTAATCCATTATATAATTTCTATTATGCAATGACTATTATGAAATTACTTTTTTTCTTTATAGATCTTGAATTAATTGCTCTCACAACACAATATATGGTTCTCTTATAATTAAAGGTTTAGAGAGCACTATCCATTGTTCCTTGATGTTACCTCTCTATTTGATGTCGTTGATTTCTTGGTATTTTCTCCAACTCTTCCTTCCTCTTTCAACTCCTCTCAGATGGTTGAGAGAAAGTTCCTTTATGCCTTTGCCGAGTTCACTTAGAAACCGTGAAAAGTGAGAAAACAGAGAATGTCGTAAACCTCTTTTTAATTTATATGAAAGGAGAGGAGAGGGTTTCCTATAATTATATTTACAATTATACCCTTAAATGACTCTATATTTTATATTTAACCACCATCACATTATGTTATTTCTCTCAACCATATGAGAGAAGCTGAAAAAGGAAGGAAGAGTTAGGGAAAATACCAAAGAATCAACGACATCAAATAAAGAAGTAACATCAAAGAACAATGGATTCAGGTTAGTGCTCTCTAAATCTATGAGAACCATATATTATGTTGTGAGAACAACGTAATTCAAGATTTGTAAAGAAAGAAAGTAATTTCATAATAGTCATTGCATAATAAAAATTACATAATGGATTAAACAAAATTCTAACACTAAGTAGGCCTTGTTCTCAAACCTCACTGCGTAAAATTCAGGATCAGATACAATGGAACCACCTTGGATCACTATTCCTGATGGTTGTTGCCTCTTTTTTCTTCCTTGTGCGGTCACAATGCCTTGTTGGTTCTTCAATGGTTTTCTAACCACGAAAGTGCAGTTTTGGAAAACGGCTAATGCATTACCGAAGACAAAGTCGATGGTACCTGAAATGGTGCAATCCCTGTAGAATTGACGCATGGTATGCACATAAAGTGTGTCTTGGTACCCATCCATTGAACAATTGTAGAAGATGGACTTGTCTGCTTGGACCCTTAATGCCACTGCTTGATGCTTTTGAGGGCCAGCAGAATTCTCAAACCCCATGTTGATTGCAACAAAGTAATCTCCTTCAATTGCTACACGCATACAAATGCATAGAATAATTATTTGATTTATTCGTAGATAAAAATCTCCTAGAAATACAAATCGGTTTTGATTTTAATATTAATTAAATTTTATGTTTTATTAATTAATTTATTTATTGTGGGCAAGTTTAAAGGAATTGTCTTGCATATTAAGATTTTTGGCCCTCAAAGGTTGAAATGAAGAAGATCCTAATTATGATATCAGAGTAGTAGTTAATTATTAATTGATTAAGCTTTGTAACATGGAATTAAGAAGACATACCAACAGTGGCTGTTCGATAAGTGTTAATCCCATCTATGAAGTTTTTGTCCCCAGTAATTCGTGTCTTTTTGCCACGTGGGTCATTTGCTTGGTAACTTCAACATACTCTTGGTAAACGCCCTCTTTGATGTAGATCACGAATGGCTTTTCGTTATTCTCAGGTACTTGCTTCAATGCTTCATTGATGCTCTTCAAATCTGCACTTCCATCTATGGCCAGAGTCACATTAGGCTTGTGTTTGAATTCACTTGAAGTTGCATCAACGAATACTCCACGTTGTTGAACCCACGAGGGAATCCGAGAATTATCCTCAAGGAGACGACGCCCAAGTAGTTTTGTGACATTCCAATCCGACACAGCATCAGCAAAATCTGTTACAATGGCAAGAACATTGCTGCTCATGTGCATGCTTGTCGTTAATAGCTCCTTCATCTTCATACCAGCCTCGCTAGTTAGTGTTCTCAAACGCATCCAAACACGTATCTTGGTATGTAACTGCACCACTAAGCCATACCTTCTAATTCATGAAGATTTTGTCGAGATTCGTGAGATTAAATTCACCTATTCCATCAAGAGACCTTGTTAACTCTTGAATTGAAAGATCCATGAGATGCTTGCATGTGTCAAGTGTCATGTTGGCTCAAGGCTCTTTCTCAACCTCATGCATGAGATTAGTTTCCTTAAGTTTATCACCAACTTTGTTAATGGTAATGTTGGAGGCAATTTTGACAAGCTCTTTTGGATCTGTGGTGTTGCCAGCCACTGTTGTGAGGCTTTCCTCACATTCTTTCTTGTAATCCGTGGGATGGCAAAAGGTTTGAACAGCGTTCAAAGTGGTAGCCACGTGGTTCTTTCTGTTGTCCTCTACATCATCCTCGGAACCATTATCATTCACACCAATTGTGACGGCAACAACCATAGCTACCAATAACAAAGTAGACATGCTAATGATGGCAAATCTCTTTCCCCTTTCTGCATTTCCCTTCGACATTTAGAGTTAAACTGTTCCTGCATGTCGTAAATTAAATTTGATTTTACAATAATTTCAAAGGTCTTTTAACGTATCCAAATACAGACAATAGAAGAATTCAATGAAAAATAACTTTTCTCTAAAAAATATAATATTTAATAAGAAATTGTTATACATAAATTCTTATTACGTACTTCTAAGCATACCATTAACAACCACATATCATTTCTTTCTTATAATTAACTTGTAATGTAAATATATTGGTTCCTACGCTTACGTACTATGAAGGAGCACCCCGCAGAAAACTGAAGGGAAACGGGTTTGCTGATTGAGGCAGTGTCAATTGATCTTCCTTCAAAGTCCTCAGGGAGAGTGCGTCTATGATGCTTGGCTTGCAAAGTAGATTGTTATTTATATATACAGCAATTAATGGCATTTAGCACCCATTATTGAACGTTGGTCAGTAACAAATTGTATCTGTCCTAAAACAAATGAAACGCGGAACCCACACCAAATACATGGCTAGCCTTTCTGGTGTGTTTGTTTCTAAAATATTTTAATGTAACTTAATAATTTTATTAAATTTAAACCCAAGCAAAAAGTCTTATAACAAAAACATATAATCTCCTCTAAAAACCAAAACGGTATGAAAAGTATGGCTAAAAATTGAAACACACAAGCCAGCAGGTGACATGCATTAATTTCCTAAATACTTAAACGGTTAAATATAGCTAAAAGTAGAGGTTTTGTAAGCTCTCTTTACTAAATAAAGGACAAGTAGTTTTTCGGTTATCGTGAAGGATAAGATGTACTTGCAAGCCACGCAGCTATTGGAAAACTTCTTAGTTTGTTTCTGAAATGTTATACGATGATTTATTATTTTCTATGCTAAAGTTTGAATTTTTTTATTTTAAATTTTATTTTCATTCATCAACTTTATTTTGATTAATTTTAATTCTCTAACTTTTATTAATATTTTTTAATTTTTCTTGGAGCCTTTAAACACTGTTCATCCTTACTTCCCTGTTTTTCTTGAAGTCCTTGTGTAAATTTCATCATTTCTCTAAATCAACAATACTACTTGAATTAAAAACGTCAATCAAATTAAAAATAAATAGAATAGCATTTAAAACACAAAAACAAAATAATGAATTCAATCACACCATTACACCTTTTAGGGTTGACTATCCTCCTCCTGTAATACCTATTGCCGTCTCATTACTACTTTCACTCTTATTTTAGTGTCATGGCCACGTAACAACACAAGAAAAAAAATACTTTATTATTAAAAATAATACAAAATATAATAACAACACTAATAAATTTATTCCTTAATAAATTTCATTCCACCAAAATTATATCAAATACAAAAGCCTAAGAAAATTAGTTAAGGCTAAGAAATGGCAAACTAAACCAACCTAAGAAATTTCAATTATTGTTCTTCGTATCAAAACATAAATGGAACGACTTTTTACTTGTTAGTACATGAATCAATGGTGATAAAATTTATTCGAACATTTACTAATTTTTTTATTAGTAAATGATAATTTTTTGTTTTGTATACATAATACATGCATCCTTGCATCTTTATATATATAAAATTAAACTCTGAAATTAAATAGAAAAGAAAATCGTTAATTTCATAAAATAAATCATCATATACAAAAGTGGCCTAGTATTTAGTCTATTAAGCAACAAAATGTCCAAAATAGGGATTTAAGCTATTTACATCTGTGAAATTCTGTATCCTGCTGGAGCAGAAGCATGGTCACCTGCAGTTAAGATAATGTGGCAAAATGATAGCACATGCAGCCACATTAAACTAAACGACTAAATGTGAAAGACAAAACTTTAACAACACAAGCATTAGCAATTTTCAGTTGGCATACATACTACCATGCATGCTCCTCGATCCTAAAAAAAAATTATTTAGGGTTCTTGGGTTTGGGGATACCAGAGGAGTAAGGAATCCTAGTAACTTTAATCCAATCATCGCCATGAAAGAACTTGAGCGGTGAGAAATGGCTTGCAGATTGTGATGTGAGGGTCTTGATCCCGGGCCACTTTACACGCTTTGATTTGTTTGAACCAGGACCGGTGTTATTAAACTCAGCATAGAAACAAGTGTTCATACCAGAAAGACCATTTGGTCCTTGCCATGGCATATACCCATCGGGTTGAATCAAACCCCCAATGTAGGTGTCCATGAAGATGGTCCTTGAGTAATTCTTCCATGGACGAGCCAGGTAAGCCTTGCTGTCAAACTTAACCTTATGATCGGACACAATGGAGCTTCCTCGAATTACTATTCCTGATGGTTGATGCCTCTCCTTTCTACCTTGTGCGGTCACAATGCATTGTTGATTTTCCAATGGTTTTCTCACCACGAACGTACAGTTTTGGAAAACAGCCACTGCATCACCAAAGACAAAGTCGATGGTACCTGAAATGGTGCAATCTCGATAGAACTGTCGCATGGCATGGGCATATAGTGTGTCCTGATACCCATCCATTGTGCATTTATAGAAGATGGCCTTGTCTGCTTGGACCCTTATGGCTACTGCTTGATGTTTGTGGGGGCCAGCTGAGTTCTCAAATCCTATGTTGATGGCCACAAAGTAATCTCCTTGAACAGCTGCATGCATAAATCCATATGTAAATTAATATTGCAATACATAATCTAATATTGACAATGTTATTTAATATATTTATAAAATTCGCCTGTTTATCATAAGCGGTTGATATTTTATTTATATTTTTAAAATATAAAACTCAATTGCAGTATTACAGGTGTTTTTATACTGTTCTTTGATCAAAATTAAAGTTTTAATACTGTAATAGAAGTAAGTTTTATCAATTTTTAAAATGTATATTTAACTTATTAAGAATATAGAGCCTCAAACGTTGGAATGCATGAAAGGAGAAAAATAGTAGCTAGTAGCTCTATAAGAACGAGAGAACACGTACCAACAGTGGGGGTTCTGTAAGTGTTAACCCCATCTATGAAGTTTTTGTTACCAGTGATCCGAGTTTTGTTGCCACCATCACCGATAAGCACAACATGGGTCATTTGCTTGGTAACTTCAATATACTCATGGTAAACGCCCTCTTTGATGTAGATCAAGAATGGCTTTTTGTTGTTCTTGGGCACCCGTTTCAAAGCCTCATTGATTTTCTTGAACTTTCCACTACCATTTTTGGCTACAACCACATTAGCCTTAAGTTTTTGTGGACTTGAATGAAGGAGTCTACGAACACCAACACCATCATCATCATCACCCCAAGAGGGAATCTTAACGTCATCGCGTTGATCATTCTGAATGAGGCTACGCCCATCTGTTGTCAAACCCGAATCAGAGAAAGTTTTAGCCAATTCAGAGATGATGGCAAGGGCATTGCTACTCATGTGCATGGTAGTTGTCAATGCGTTCTTCATCTTCAAACCCGCTTCGTTCGTGGTGTTCTCGAAACCATCCAAGCAGGTATCTTGGTATGTGATAGCACCACTGAGCCAAACCTTCAAACTCGAGAGGATATTATCGAGATTGTTGAGATTAAAGGTGCCCATTTTCTCAAGCGACCTCTCGAACTCCCCAATGGAAAGATCCATGAGTTGTTTGCATGTGTCAAGTGCCATTTTGGTTCTGTGGTCCTTCTCAGCCTCTTCCATGAGATTTGTTTTCTTAAGTTCATCACCGATTTTCTTGATGGTTATGTTGAAGGCGATTTTGATGAGTTCTCTTGGGTCCGTGGTGTTACCAGCCTCTGCTTTGAGGCTTTCTTCACATTCTTTCTTGTAATCTGTGGGGTGGCAAATGGTTTTCACTGCTTTTAGAGTGGCAGCAACATGGGCCTTATCGTTTTGTTCATCATCGTTGGAAGTAAGTTGCTTGAGGTTGACGCCAACCGTGAGGGCAATGACCATAGCCACTAGAAAGATGGTAGAGATGCCAATGATGACGATTCTCCTCTTCTTCAGCTTATCTTCCCCAACCATTTTTAATTGAGTGGCTGTGGCCCCTATCAAATAAATGCAATACAATAAGACTTGTAGTGCATCTGAGTTTATAAGAAATTTGTAAACAAATTAAATGATGAGAACTATTGCATGCAAATCAGATAGTACTTTTTCTTTTTGTGTATGCTTTAATTTGTGTGTTGATTCCTGCACGTGTTATGCAAAAGAATGAACCCCGCAGAGAAGTGAAGGGGCTGAGGGTGTAGCAATCCTCCGTAAACCCTTCTTGAATGTGTGTCTCTTGGAACGGCGTGCAAAATAGAAGTTTCTTTATATATAGCTGAAAGAACGGTTTAAAAGTTTGTTATGCTAAATGTTAGGTTTGGGGTCAAATGCATTGTAGATTAATTAGCTATATATCTTTTCTAAAATGGGTTGAACTCCCGCTGAAGCCGCACAATATATAGAACCTTTTAAGGTCCCAATTTTACTGTGGAAAGTAGTCTATTTCGATTCGTCTCAGTCACCAACATTTGCCCACGTTCTTCACTTCTCTCTTGTTCATGCGCAACTTTAGGCGGGCACCGATTTAGCTCTTATCTTGTTTACGTGTTAGTTTGGAAATTTTTTTGGATGGTATGAGATTACCAAGTGTTCACCATCTTGATAAATAATTATTACAAAATATGTAACTAATATTTTTTGTTTAGACACAACTAGTTAAAAAATATGAATATTGTCGTATGTGGCATAACAATTGAGATTACAAACACAGTAGTTTTAGTTAAGCTGAAAATCGCGATAATGTGGCTCGATATTGAATATGAGACACAAGTTCCATCAACCTATAAATCTAGAGCAGAGTACTTGTAATAACATTTAAGAGTATTTCGGTTGTTAATTAGCACAATTGGTGTATTGATTAATTGTACTAAAAAATTATTATTGTTGCATTGAATGTATCGTTTCAATTTATAATACTTGTACACGGATTTGCTGAGTTCTTCTATCACAAGGATTCACGTTTCATGGAAAAAAAAAAGGTAGTATAATTATTTATAGAAAAGCAAAATGCTAAGTTTTTTAATTTTAAACTTAGTGTATGTTTATTTTACTGTGATTTAACCATCGATCTTGTATTTAACAGTAATAATTTCTCATTTTGTCTTTTAAAGTGGGACTCTTCCTCTAAACGAGAAATCTTTATAATCAGTACGTCTATCCTCACGTGATATGGAAAAGAAAAATATTATATATGCATTTCCAAAAATAACACTTACAGAAATTAACAATATTTTCAGGGAAATTATTCAACATAAATAAATGAGTGGCGGAATAAAAGGATAAATATCAGATAAAGTTGAAGTAAACAAGAAGCACATAAAATAATCACTGTAACCCGGCTTTGAAAGGCACTCCTGTCTTGGGCAGCCATTGATCACCTTGAATAAATTTGCTTACCGTGAAATCACCAGCATCATTTTGGTCAATGAGATGGTACCCTTCCCATGTGACCCTGTTGCTAGTATTTGAACCTGGTCCCCAGTTAGCAAACTCAGCATAATACAATGTGCTTAAAGCAAAATCCCCTGACCATTCAACCCAACCCTTTGGATCAATTAGGCCATCCATGAAAGATTGCATGCAAACTGTCCTTGAATACTCCTTCCAAGGCCGACCCAAATATGTACTTATGTCATTATAATTGTTATTAGCATCACTCAACTCACTGGCTGCAATCATGCAACAGTTTTGAATGGAGACGCCAGTGTTTTGGTTAGGATCTGTTCTGCCTTGAGCTGTGATTGAATTGAATTGGTTTGGCATTGGAAGTCTTGGGTACATGTTACAATCCTGGAATACTGCTGCAGCATTGCCAAATATAAAATCTACTGTGCCATAAATGTCACAGTTTTTGTAGAATTGCCTAAGGGAAAATACATACAATGTGTCTTGGTAGCCTTCAAAACTACAATTGTAGAATGTGGACATGTCCGCACCGTTTCTCACAGCCACCGCTTGATACTTGCTGGCCCCCGCAGTGTTACGAAATGTTATGTTCACTGCAACAAACCCTGTTCCAACCACAGCTGCACGCCACAGTAATAGCAATCAAATTAGTTAAATATGTGACAATTTTCTAAATTATCATTTGAAAAATATTATTAGATTAAATAGGGGATGTGGAATTGAGTGTCTCATAAGAAAATATACAGTCTCTAATAACTAATAAGAACATAATATCACTATTGGATTTGAGAACTTTATGGCACGAATATAAATAACTTGATTTTTGTACTTGTCTGACCCCAAGTGCCGAAATTAATGCGCATGCCCGAGCAGATAATAGGTGACATCTTAGACAATATTACTTGTATTTATAAACACATTAATAGTAGAAGTATTCTTAAATACAATCTCAATAGATATATTCCATGCAACATGATCCAGTGTGAACCTTCAACTCGGCTTACCGAAAGTTGCAGATTGGAAAGTGGTCCAACCATCAGCAACGCTGCGATTGCCAGTGATCACAGTGCGGTTGATGCCATCTCCAACGATCATTAGATTCTCCTTGCTCTTAGGAATAGACACGTACTCATTGTAAATTCCAGCAACAACATAAATTGCATGGTACCCGTTGTTTGTGCCGGCATTGTTAGGTGCAGCATCCACTGCTTTATTTATGGTGGTGAAGTCACCAGACCCATCTGGGTTCACCACCACTTTTTGTGTCACCACTACACTGTCAACGTCTGTTTGCAATAGCTTTCTATTAATAATAGTCTCAACTCTCTTCTCTGTAGTTGAACTTGCTGTGGCATCACTAACCCAACCGCGTGTGAAAAGGGCCAGTGATATGCTATAAAGTTTGATCCCATCAGAGAGAGGGCTTGATAAAGCACTGGTTACTCTAGAATAGGGAGTTACCTCGAGAAAACCATCCAAGCAAGTTTGTTGATTGGTCAAAATGGCACTAAGCATGGTTTGCAATTCATAAACCTGATAGCTACTCAAAGGGTTTTCAATAGCTTGGAGTACATTGGACAAGAAATCAGTGTTAAGTTCAGCTAAATTAAGACAATCTTCAAGGGCATGTAGTGTTGAATCAGGAATAAACTGGTCTCTAAGATAAGAAGAGATGGATTGAAGAATGGTTTTTGTTATTGATAAGGATTGTTGAAGGAAGAAAATGCATTGGTCATGTATGGATATGTATTGAGGAGGCAAGGTAGTTTTGCAGAATGCTGGATAGGGTGTAGTGTAGCACGTGTCATCTTGGGAGGAGGAGAAAGCTGCATGAGAGGATGAAAAGAAGAGGATGAAGAGGAAAACAAAGGTGTATATGGATTTCGATGCTTTCAAATTTGTGGCCATTGCACTGGATTGATGGCTGGGGAGCTTTAACTTAGGGTCTTCCCTATTTATATTTAGCTGCATCATCTTGTATTAAATTAACTAGCTATATCTGCAGGGTTCAAATTATGGTGCTTGGGTTTATTAATTAATTTCTGGTTAATGAAACAACCTGATTGAGAAAAATCTCACATAACAGCTCCAGCACCTGTACTGTATTTTTAAAGTAGCCCCCCCTTTAATGCTAAATTAATTATTCATCTCATTCTTCCAAATAATTAAAAAAATTAGCATCAGTCTTTATTAGAAGTATTAATTTTTATTAAGAAAATCATATTTAGAATACAATAATGTAATGTTAACAAATTAATAATTAAAATTTTAAATTTTAGTGTGTTTAGGTGAGTCCTTAGATGATCCATGCTTTAAGGCTAAAAAACTCTTTCAACGCGTAAGATATAAAATCCTCTATGTTAGATGTATTTTTCCACAACTTGACGGGGGTGTCTAGAAAACGAATAATCAGAGTATTTAAAGGATCATTATATGGCCCGGTAATTGTTTCTCTTAAACCAATAGAAATCCACAACTCACGTTCTGTTTTGATATTCATTTTGCATCTATCTTCATTGTTAGCAAACACCAGTAATAGACATGACGTGTGAATACCAGTAACTCATCAAGTGGCCTTTCTCATTATATAATTTGATTTCAGTCAAAGAACTAACGCTTGAGTTAGTGGAAGGCATGTTTAAGTTCCAACATGCCTAGAAGTCATTCACTTTATGGATGACCTTGTCTCAGTTTCTTTGGCAAAAGAGATCTAACTAATTAATAAGCATGGGTATTTTACACACGTCTACATTTCATGGACCTCACAATCATTAAGTAGGTTCTACGCGTAACAATCAGTGTTGACCAAATGAAAAAACATGCAATCTTAATCAGTTATTAGCATTGTCAATTGAATAACATAATTTTTTTAAACTTTTTACTCCCAACTAATTGACAAAAGTCTCTAGGCATGAGATAACAGATTGACTCAATAGCAGAATTTAAATGAGTAAATTAGGAATCTAGTCCTTAAAATCAATTACATTTTGATTACAGCTTTGCTCTTAAATTTAAATGAGTATTAGAGCTATACAAACTAGTACTCAATTTTCATTTTAATTCTTAAAAAAATCTCATCATATATGGTCCGAATAACTAACATAAGTGGCAGCAGATTAAGATAAAATAAAAATGTAATTTGCCATTAAATACCAAATCAATGAAAATTTGCATTCATTTGAGTTGAGTACTTCTCAAACTTCATAATTTTGTATCAACTATTTTGCATATTATATAACTTGTCTGATCTAAAAAGCCAGACATCAGAATTTTATATATATATATATATATATACACTAGGAATTATCCCTGCAAATAGACTCAGTTAAAAATAAATGAATTGAATAAAGTTTGTACAGGCATACAACCACACGCACCAAAAAATAAAGCTACAGTTAAAAAAAAAAACTCAATCAAACCAATCTATGTCAAAATTTTCACAAATTTTATATAACTTATGTTATGCTCCAACCAAACTGTATGGGCTAAGAATTTTGAATTCCGGTAAAAAATGTGTGAACAGCTTAAAAGCAAGCTAAAACTTTTGCAAACCATGGTAGTAATAGTATTTGCAAAAATTGAAGAGACTTAATTTAAAATTCCAAGCTTGTATAACTTGTCACTGCCTTCCACCGGTGATTGACTAAATGGTGGCTGTATTTTGAGCTGATTTGCTGCATCAGATGTCATGACAACCCCAGCATTCCAATACCAAGGTTGAAGATATGTTGAATCAATGGATGAGGACCATGAAGATGGATGAAGCATCACAGAACCCCAATCCCTACTTCCAAGCCTTGCTTCCTTCAATCTTCTCCTCACCAACAAGCGTCCCACATCTTGTTTTTTCATCTCTGATACACTTTTGAGTATTGAAATGCAAAGGAGAAGCATCAGTACTGCATCTTCTTCTGGCAATACTTCAACAGCCAATAGCCTCCAATTTAGAAGAGCTGTTGCTTTTCCATCTGGGTTATCTTCTGTGAAACGTATTACTGTTATAAAATTATCCCCATCCTCCTCTTCTTCAATCTCTTTCTCCTCTAATTCATTTTTTAGTTCTTCACTTTTTCTCTTTGACTTTACTTTCTTTACTTGATATTGCATTTTCCTTCCTTTCAATAACTTTACCTGCAATTCATGTTTGCAACTTTAGGCCAAATTAAAAGGTAAAGTTCACACTTAATTTCAGGACAATAATATTTAGAGAAGTTGTCACTCTACCGATGACTCTGGAGATGTTTGATTTCTCAAACTAAAGGTAAGACTTGACACAGATTGTGATGAATCCCACTGTATTATAAGCTCATCTCCTGTTGAAAAGCACCATGCAGCTTTACATTGTTCAGCAGGTTCCTTTGGTGTCGCAGTGGCCACCACCTTCTCTGTACTAGACAGAAACAAAAGCAAGAAAATATTTGAGATTTTCTCCAGAAGGATAGAAGCAGAATTATAATCTAGCATAATAATTTTGTCGTCAAGCAAGCAGTGCATCAGATCAAAATGGAAACAGAAAGACATGCAGTTAAGGTATTTAATTTTCCTGTTCTCAAGTAATATTTCACAATACCTAATATAGCTAAAAAATATAAAGAAAGATAGAGGATCAAGGCATAGCAGAAAGAAAAAGTAGTGTCATAGAATACAACTAATTTGTTTGGGGGTTGTTATGGGATCACAAGTAATAAAGGCTGGGACTTCTTCTCAATGTGTTACAAAGAAGAAACTAACTTCAGACAATGTTTCAATCTGGACTAGTATGAAAGAAATAAGACATGAGACCAACATAGTTTCTGAGCAGAAGTATAGTTACTAATGCTGGCTCCTACTTTCTAGTTTCTCTTTTGACTCTAGTCGTCCACATGCCTCCAAAGAAGCTAAGACAAAGATACCATGATTAAATTTATGTAACATGTACATAAAACATACCAGGGGCTCTACCAATGGAACCAGCAACATAAGACCAGGATCCTTCACGTATTTCTATAATCCTATCTTCCCATTTTACAGCTGAAGGAATTTCACCTCCTCTTCTCCAAAATCCTCCTCCTACCCTGCAGTTCAAATATTTGCCAGTAAGTAAGCACAAAGTGGTATCACAGTATTAACTCTAAACTATTCTTAATATTGAAGCACAGTTCTGGAAGTTCACCTAATTCTAATAACAAAACAAACTCTCCCCACATGATCGAGAACTGTGCGAGACAACCATCGCCCTTCTTGAGGATGATAACTATTCATTTTCAGAATCACATCAGATATCATTGCCCCAGAATCATCTGTGACTCGATCCGGCACACATTTTAACAAGTATGGTGCTTGAACCGGTGGGGTAATTGATGTAACAACATTCACCTGTTGACGAACTTCTTTTTCCAAAGTTAAAGAATCTGCTCTCAATAAATCATTCCAGCGGAACGAAACAGTGTCTTGCAGGTTACTTCCTCTCAGACAGTTACTGCCATGCCGCCGATGCTCAAGCAAAAGTCCCCTAGTACCAAATTCACAGTAAAAATGCCAAGCTTTTTTCCATGAATCAACGGTGAAATTGGAGAAGGCTTTGTCTAGCTTTAGTTCGCTATGACACCTTACTATTCGGAGGCGTAGGAAATCATGGCTTATATCCTTTTGGGATGTCTTTATTCTTGGCGTTAGCCTCACAAACACACAGACCTGCATTGAAAAAGTTAGATCCACATTCATTCTCTTGCAATACTCACACATGTTGTTGATGTTCTAAACAGGGATTGTTTAAATATGTTTGTCTACTGTTGCAAAATTACCGCATATACACTATCACGTATAAGCTATAGGCTTCCTCGTACATGTATGAATATACTATAATAAACAGAAACAATTGAATGGAGTATTATACGTAACAAACAAACAAAAAAACAAAAGCAAAAGAATGTAGCAATAGGAATCTACGATTTTTAAAACCAGGTTGACTAAGGTGCCTCCTAACATCAAGCATACAAACTACTTGAGGTCATTTACAACAAAGAGTGAACAGAAAAAAGCAAGGCCAGGAAACAACACTCTAGCAAGTATTAAAGAAAAGACAACAATAGCAAGTGGAGAGAAAAAGAGAATATGAAGTTGACCTCGAGCAAAAATCTTGGAAGCATTGACCTGTACTTGGTATTGACATCTGTGTCTGATTCTTCCCAGTAGACGGGAGATTTGACTGAAACAACTCCTTCCAATGTCAAAGGCACTTCTCCACCGGCTTTCTCATAAGGTTGATTGAATGCCCTGTCCCACAACTTTTTGGTTTCTTCAAACTCCTTTTCCTTCACGGTTTCAGACACAGTTGCGACCTTCTGCAAATCACCATCTAAAGCTAAAGCTTTCATATCTTCCGCATACACTGTCGGATAGCTCTATTCCATTTAAAAGTAAATAAATAAATTTGACAGTAAAATATTACAAAGTCAGAAAATGCAAGGTGTAGAGTATGAAAATATGCATAGCATCAGCATTTAAGAGGGGAAATAGAATAAGGTACGGAAACATGAATAACCCAAAACAAAACAATATGAAGTTAAAGTGAAGTTGAAACAAACCTGGTGGGTCAGCATCATTAACAAAATGTCCGAAGTGGGTACCAGACGCGAAGATTCATGAGCGAAACTTTGCGCCATAAACAAGAAAGCCTTATATCTCTGCCTCGCGGCTATTAAGTAGACCAATTCAGACCTGTACGGTTCTGCAAACAAGGAGCACAACAACCTTTGCTTTTCAACCATCTTGAAAACACCCTCCATCAAACTCCCCCCTTCAACCACAGTACTCGAATAATCCTGCGAATCAGAACTCGCCTCATTCTCAAACGCCTCGAACGGGTATTTGGTGTTCCAAATTTCCCTGCATCGCATCAACGCGTACTCTCTGTTCTCTTCATCGAAGATACGCGCTCTCCCAATAAGCTTCGAGAATCTCGTAAAGCAGTATTCCCTGTAACTTACCTTAATCATAAAAAAGAAGCAAAATCAGATATTGAAATTCAGTTTTTTTTTTTTTATGAAATAAAAAAGAAAAAGAATGATGAGGTAGCTCACAGGGTTGAGAGTGTGACAGAACCAAACCCACTGAACATCAAAGGGAGGAAGAAGCATGGGAGGGGCTGAGTCTGTCATCGTTAGATCAGAAATCAAGGGCATCCAGAAATGGTGGTACCTGCGAATTGGGAAAACGCTCCACCGTCAGATGAGATTACCAATGAGAGTGGAAGCAAAGAGTTTGACCTTCGTATGGCTTCGATCAGAATGGGCGCGTGGTGAAGCCACGTAGAATCTGCCACGCTCCTTAAGAAGCCGATATTTCGCCTGGCTGCGGATACGAGATCGATTCCAAGTCGTATGGTGGAAATTTGCGGTGACTCGGCGAGACTTCTCGAGGACGTGCTGGTTTCAAGATTCTCGGACATGGTTTTGCTAGCAAATGAATGAGTACAGTAGAAGAGTATGGTATTTTTAGTAAGCAGTGCTAAGAAGGAGGGTGGGCAGGAGAGAGAGAGATAGTGGTGGAATGAAGATGTGTTTTGGAACAAAGAGAATAAATGGAGTGAGGGAGGACAAGACTGTGACTGAGTTTTAAGGTGGCCCTGTTTTAACACGTGTAAGGATCTTGTGTCTCACTCACTCACTCACTTATAATGGAAGTCCTTCGGTAATTCAATTCTATCCCAGTCCCATAACTAGTTCTCCAAGGTTATCCTTTTATTTGTTTACGTAGTTTGTCTGCTTAATTACCTATATTGGATTTTTAGTATAAAAACTTCTTCCAACATATATAAAATTCTAATCATTTGTTAATAATCATATTAATTACCCTTAGAGCCCCTCCCCCGGAAAAAAAAAAGAGGAATGAAACGAGGGATATGTTTTATCGTCCTATCTAATTTAAATAAAAATATTTATTTTTTTAAGTATGATAAAGCATTTAATAATTTTTCATATGATAAATTAAAAGATCAATAAAAAATATGAAAAATAAATAAAAATGGTCCGAAAGCCTGGCATAAAAAATTTTTAGTCCGATCCACATGTCAGCACGTGGGTTTATAGGACATATGATGTGTGTCCATAGCAGGAGCAAGACACCACTACATTCAAGTTTTGACTTATTATCAAGTGGTGTTCGGTACACATGACCCACCCACACGTATGATGCATATTGCATACGTCTGTTTTCTTGGCTTCTTGCAATTTTTGCCAATGTCTCACTTTAGTTACAAATACTGTTATGTATAGTATATAAGGTTTAAAGCTATTTATATATATTATTGATGTGTTTAGGTGATTTCAGGAATGTCAGCAAACCAACTAATTTATACTTTTTTTGTACATTTATTATTTCTACCTTTCATCCCATTTTTAATTATTAAAATAAGTTTTAATTTAAAATTATATTTAATAATTAATAGAAATATAATAAAAGCATGACATATTATAAATTTTTATAAACTAATACAATATTGAAATATATAAATTTGGCGAAAGTAACTTTTTTAACTTAATTAATGTCGTATTTTGCATGCATAAAAACTAAATTAATGTCACAGGAGATAATAAGGATTTAAATGGTTTTAAAAAAAGTGAAATGTTATAAATTTTAAAAATGAGTTTTTTTTCATCAAACAAGAAAATGATTATTTTATTTATTTAAATTTAAAGATAAAGGTTAAAGAAGATGACAGATAGGGGCATAACAATAGGAAATTTGGATTTAGAGTGGGGACTATACAGAAGAGGACACTTAGCGTTATGTCAAATGAATATTTGGGGGTGGGAATGTAGTCGACCCAACCAGAAAGAGGGTGTGGGAGTGAAAGTATCATTCAAGTAATCGCAAAAGTACAAAAAAAAATTCTTTTGGAAATGTGTTAGTTAGTTGATGGTGCAGTAATGGTTCAATTTTGAGAAAAGTAGCAAACTAGTTGGTATATTTAATTAACATGAAACTAGTTGATCAATAAAAAAAATATAATTAAATAAGAATAATAATAATAATAATTAATATTATAAATTTAAATATATATTATAAATAATTAATGTCAATCCATAATCACATTAATAATAATAATTTAACAATCTTCTATTTAAATGACATAAATCAATTATCATATATATATATATATATATATATTAAATATCATATTAACATATCAATTATCAGAAAAAAAAATTATAAAAAATAAGTCATAAAAGTACAGTAGAAACTCTTTAAATTAATAATGTCAGGACCAGAGAAATTTATTAATTTAGAGAGTTATTAATTTATCGATAAATTAATAATTATTAATTTAAAGAGTTTTTAAGTAATTATACTGTACATACCAAACAAAAAAGTAAATTAATCTATGCCTCTTAGAATTACGTTGCAGCGAACCTTGAGACTCAACGTATAGTAAATTAGTAACTATACTACATATGCATTGGATGCAATAAGAAAAGTTAGAGATGAGCTCCAAATAGACTTGAACTTTAAAGGAAAACAGACAACTATTGAATCATATTTCAATAGAGTGTAATATATTTTTTTCAGTTTCTATGAATTATTAATTTATGATTTTCTTGGGACTGAAAATTATAAAGGGATCTCCCAAAAAATTATTATCTTATTATTTTATCGAATTTTTCAATTTTTTATATTAGCCAAAGTCAGGACCAGATAAATTTATTATTTTAGAGAATTTATTAATTTATCGAGTATTAATTTAAAGAGTTTCTATTGTATAAATAAAATATTCGATAGAAATATTATATATGTGTCATGTGTTTATACTTTATATAAATGATAATGGATATAAAGTAATGCATAACATATTTAATTTAAAATTTAATTTCAAAAAATGGTCAAAGCATCTAGAAATGTTATACAAGAGATATGCTATAAAATGACGTTGTCTCAGACATATCTCACAATGATCAAAATAAACGAAAAATTTTAGACTCTCACTAACCAAAAACATAAAAAGATACTCAACTACATCTATGAGGGCTACATGACTTTTGAAGACTCCAAAATTTAAGCCTTTGGTTAGTGGATCAACTAACATATTCTCAGTGGGGATATGCACAATCTTAGTCTGAAATTCTGAAACCTTATCTCTAACAAACATATATTTTACATCAAAGTACTTTGAACAAGAAAAGCTTATGTTGTTTTGAGAGAAGTGTACAACAACAGAATTATTGCAATATAGCACAAGTGACCAAGATATACTCTCAATGACTTAAAGTTCAGAAATCAAGTTCTTAAGCCACATGAAGTAATTTCATAGCAAGTAATATATTTTGCTTCCATGGTAGAGGTTGTTGTAAGAGTTTGTTTCACACTCTTCCAAGAAATAATTCCTCTTGTCATCATAAAGATACAGTCGGATGTAGATTTTCGGTATCAGGACACCTTGCAAAAATCAGAATCAGAATAATCAATGACCTGAAGTTGATCAAACTTCTTATAGGTCAACATGTGATCTTTGTTGCCCTGCAAATATCTCATGACCTTCTTTGCGACTCTCCAATGATCCAAACCTGGGTCGCTCAAGTATCTTCATAAAGCATCAACAACAAAAGCAATGTTAGGATGAGTGCAAACATGAGCATACATTAAACTGCCAACAACGGAAGCATATGAGACTTTCTTCATTTCAGCTCTTTCATCGTCATTTTGAGGATATTGAGATTTAGAAAGCTTGTCTTCCTTTTGAATAGGCAAGCACATGGGGAGTAAGAGTGCATGTTAAATTGTTTGAGGATTTTATCAATGTATCCTCTCTAAGACAATCCAAGAACACCATGTGACCTAGCACAAATAAATTTGTATGCTTAGAACAACAAAGGCATCACCTAGGTCCTTCATATCAAAGTGACAAGTCAACATCGACTTTGTCTCAATCAAAAGTTTAACACAATTACTTGCCAATAGAATATCATCAACATAAAGCACAAGAATGATGAAATTGCTCCCACTAGTTTTCAAATAAACACATTGATCCGAAGCATTTTCCTTAAAATCAAGGGAATTAACCACCTGATCAAATTTTAAGTACCATTGTCTAAATGCCTGCTTTAATTCATAAATAGGTTTCTTAAGTTTGCAAACCAAGTTTTCCTTGCCAATTTTAGCAAAGCCATTAGGCTAAACCATATAAACATCTTCCTATAAATCTCCATTCAAGAATGCTGTTTTCACATCCATCTAGTGAAGTTCTAAATCAAAGTGTGTCACTAAAGTCATAACAACTTGGAAAGCATCTTTATTAGAGATTAGTGAGAAAGTCTTTTTATAGTCAATGTCCTCTCTCTAACTATAGCCTTTTGCTACTAGTCTGGCTTTATACTTTTCAATTTTACCATTTGTATTACATTTGGTCTTAAAGACCCATTTGCACCTAACTGGCTTGCAACCAATTGGTAACTCAATAAGATTCCAAACACAATTGTGTGCCATAAAAGCTAATTCATCATGCATGGCATTTAGCTAATCAAAAGCATGAGAGCAAGAGATAGCCTCTTCAAAAGAAATAGGATCATTAACTTCATTGAAATTGAATTCATGTTCCTAAAGATAGACAATGTAATCATTAGGTATTGAAGACTTGTGCACTCTTTGAGATCTTCTCAAATGAACCTCTTCCACAAGGTCATTTGTTCCTGTTCATTCATGAAAGGAACTATCGTGTCTTTATCTTGAAGATTTTGATTAGAAACCATAGGAACGACAACATTTAGTGACATAGGACTTGTAACACTGTCTTCCCTGAGGATGATTGGTTGTGGTGTTTGACTCCCACTATCCAAGACATCCTCAAAGAATACAACACAATCAGGTTCAATAACTCGAGTAGAGTGGAAAGGACAATATAATCTGCTGCCTCAAAAACCAATGCAATAGCCAATGAAAAAACCACTAACAGTTTTAAGATCAAGCTTCTTCAACTGAAGATTATAAGGTCTTATCTCTGCCTTACAACCCCATACATATATGTGCTTCAAGGTCAGCTTATTTCCAATCATGAGTTCATAAAGAGTCTTAGGTATAAATTTGCTAGGTACTTGATTGAGAATGTACATAGCAGTCCTCAAGGCATCTCTCTAAAGAAAAACTAGCAAAGAAAGATGGCTGAACATACATCTCACCATGTCAAGAAGTATCTTGATCCTTCTCTTTGCAACTCCATTTTGCTCAGGGGTATTTGGCATAGTATATTAGGCCTCAATGCCACATTCTTCAAGGTATCTTGCAAAAGGTCCAAGGTTTATGCATGTCTCATCGTATCTTCCATAGTATTCTCCTCTTCTATCAAACCACACATTTGATCTTCTTTCCTTTTTTTTAATTCAACAGCAACTTTAAAAGATTTGAATGTGTTTAGAGATCCAGATTTCTCCTGAAGGATTTCTATCCATCCAAACCTAGAGAAATCATCAATAAATATGATAAAGTACCTATATCCATCTAGGG